TGGCAGTTCGGCTGATATAACCGGAAATAGAATAATGAATTCTTGCAAGTGAAACCGGACGCGTTATTCAATGTCCGGAACTGTTCTCCACCCTAGCTTCAGGCAACCACCTCGTACACGTACTGACTCATATCTGTTATAACCGATTATGGATATGAATATTCTTAGGTATTTAAAGCACTAGGTGAGACGTTCTTCAGATATATCTGACTCATCTTTAGTAAACTGAAATTGATGTGCGTTGTCTGTTCACTGTTTCTAACAAAAGTAGGCCAGCGTTAACTCGGGTAATGGGTAAATATTGTTACCAAATAGTAAATATATTGAAATAAATTACTTGTTTCTATCCTTTGGCAGTTCACAACTGACACATTTGATGGCAAAACATATTCATATTCCATGGGAAAAGCATTTTATAACCACTGCTGTAAATCAAAGTCCTCATTGATGTGTTGTTATGAATTATAAAGGTGCAAACCACGGTGAAAGGTCATCAATTTTACAATCACTAAAAAATAAAAAATCTTTCCCTATTTTGATTCTGACAAAGTCCTGAAACTTTTTCTAACATATCATTTGCTATAACTTGTGTTCATTTGTCTGAATTCCTGCCAATTTTGTGAGTATTTATCATGAAATAGATGATAATAGGACGTTCCATACCCATGTACAAACGGATAGAAGTCGGGAAATCAATCCCAAACTGTGTGTTTGATGGCTTGTCTTCCATCAAATTCACATTCATTCTCTCTGAATTTCATCCGCCAAAGACACGACTTCTTCATACGTGGAGAATATCAAACAAGTATAGCAATTGCTAATTAACGGGCAACTGCGGCCCCTACTGTGCAGCAATTGTCATGTCGGCTCGGCCCATTTCCGCCTACGTTATTATAACGGCGGACTGACAATTGCTCCATTACCACGAGACTAAGACTGAACCGAGACATTAAATTATTTAAATATCCTTGATGAGGTTGGTAAGTGAGAGGACCGTTTGAAGTTCTGGGACTAATTCATATCTTTGCTCCTGTCAATCACAGAAGTGCGTCAGATGGCACAGTACTTAGGGAAGTAAATCGCTGTACAAGTATCAAGAGTAACTATTCCCCCTCCATGTATGTTGTAGAAACGTGCATTCAATTATGTCATGACATATGCTACTACCGTTTGAAACCAGAAGAACACTTGGAAGTTGAGACGATTTTCCACACAGAGCCATAGGTTATGAAATTTCTAACTGCAAAAGAAAGTCCGCAATCTGGAAGAAAAATGTGGAAATAAAAAACACATTCCATTGGCAAAACGCATATATTACACAAATATTATCATATGCACTTAAGAGGTATACAAGAGGTCACTTCGCATGCCTGCTGTTAATTACCTAAGTATATACCTTCCTTCCAGTCGGTTATAAAAATTTTACATTGCACAACAGCTGTCAGGAGAGTTATGAGTTCTTAAAATTGATGGGACATGGTCTAACTTCCGACAATCAAAATTCAACTAAAAACCAGTTGAGGCTAATGTATGCTAACAGAGTGATGAGAAGGCCAATTACGGAGTAATTCCGTACCCCTGCGTGGTCGCCCGACTCCCCAGTCCTTATCACAAGCTTCCTGTCATATCAAAGACAGTAAGTGATATTATCTCCGATATCTGCACACATTTGGGATAACTGACATAACAACCGGAAATGCTGTTCCCCGAGTCAAATAAATCTCTTTGTGACATTTTCTTTCGTTGCCTCAGCTTGTGTTATATTACTGTTTGATTAACGTTTAGCCCTATGTAACCGGTGCCATTTTAATCTGGCCATTCTGATATACCGGGAACCTATTTTAGCGGAAGTGATGACAGGGCACGTGGACACCGTAAGAGGCACAGCTGATGGCGAAACACACCAATATGTAAATAGTGTCGTGTGCACTGTTCATTATTCAAGAAACTATTGTGGAGAAAATGGGAATGAAAAGGGATTTATGTTAGTGCCTGCAGACAAAACATCCAATAACTTGATCCTTATCTAATTGTTACTAGGAAGAGATACTGATAAATCATCCCTGAAATGCCTAGGACTGATAAGGATACGGACCTCTCCCTATTATATCGGACTCATAAACTTAAAACAAATACATACAAACAGCATTTTATTGCTGTTCAACCAAACCCCTTTTGTCGTCCATACCTCTTATAACTATTCTTAATACTATCAAATACGGTTTACAATCTTATTTACTCTAGAAGTGAAATTAAGGAATATTGATGATTTTTTAAAGAATACCTAGATAGATTTTTACCAATGTTCAACACTCTCATCTAAAAGCATTTTATATACATGAACATTTGATATTCCGCTTTGTACACACCATACCCCATTCTGAACTGAAAGAACACCATCGTTCTCCTGTCGATTCTTTTCCAAGAAAGGTGAACGACTGTCCGAATATATCACTATGACGATACTGAACGTATTTCATAAACGATTCGTCAACATCAAAGTAGAAATATACAGAGGACGAAATAACAAAAAAAAACAAAAAACAAAAACAAAAAAAAAAAAAAAACAAAAAATGATCGGGTTTCTGGTTGACAATATCATCAATCACGAAATTTGCATACCTTCACAATTAAAAATATTTCAATGCTGCATTATCTTTAAATAATAAGAGAAGATTTAATGATTGCGCCAATCAAGGACACGATAAACCCTTCTACATCAGCCGCTTATTTCGTTTTTTACTGCGACGAAATGAAAATTGACAGCTTTCCACCAAGCTGTAAGATAAGCATGATGTTTGAATTTTCCTATTGTGAATTTATTTTCCTTTTCTAGATAGCAAACGTCCTGCATTCTCAACCTATAACGTTTACATGTCGATATTCCGTGCATCACGATCTTTATATAAGATGTCGACAACTGACCGATAAACTAACAACATTGCGTTTCGAGAGATGCAGATAATTAACACGGACATATTGCGGTCGCTATAATAAAATAATTGAGTAATAATATTTCATTTGTGTGATATGAAACTTGATTTGTAATGCATGTTAGCTTGCCTGTTGTTTCCATTGTTTTATATACCTTGTTCCCATTTGGAAACATAACAGTGCGTGCCTGGACTGTCCAAGATGTATGTGGCGCGTGTCAGCGATGAAGCAGAAGATTCTTACTCTTTCGGAACATCTGGTCTTATTTTCCGTTCGCTTTTCAGGAGTTTCCGTATATATTTTGATTATGTTCACAAGCTGGTATGTTTTTCTTACCTTTGCGGTAACATCTGCATTTGTATATGTACAAACACAGCCTCTTGATGATTAAATTACAACTATAACTGGAAATTTCTCAACACAAAACCATCCAGATCATTGTTATATCTTTCGCACATCACTTACAGTAAAATTGAAATGGTTTTATATGATACATATGCATCGAGTAATTTTAGCTGATAACTCAAGTTTTTAAAATTCTTTAAGTTATTATCAAACCTAAAACATGAAAAAAAAACCTACACTTTACTTAGAGTTATTGATATGTTTTATTTCTTTCGTTTTAGAATCGTCATTCATTCACGTATTTAAAATTGTAATCGACACAAATATACATAGTTTTAAATAAGGTTACATTAATTATTTTTATGCAAGAGAGACCGAACGAACAAATGCAATAAGATATAATAACAAAGAGAATAATTAGCCATGTTATTGAGACAGCGTGATTCTCTTACTGAATGATAGGATCTTCCTTACAAAGTGATGCCATTTACCGAATGTTAAAACCTTAATAACAAAGCCATGCCATCCGGAATGGTTATTTGAGGTTACATTAGCCAATTGATCTATCTAATAAAAGTATCGCAGCCATTCTAGTAAAAGAACTATGATACACAAACACAGGCAAAATAACAATAATGGATACATTAATAATGTTCACTGATTCTTGATGAATGTTTCAAAAGCAAATTAATTGGCGCTATACACGAAAAGCATTTAACGAAATAAAAATTCTGTAAATGGAACTGGGTTTTTTTTTCATCGAGGAACCGAACGTATTCTTTTGGGACATGCAGTGGATTTCCAGTAAAACTTTCGCTGACAATTGATGTTATAATCTTACTCTATGTCACAGAGCCATGGTTACATTATTATGCCGTATTTATATAAACAGGATTTTCTTTAGTACTCTTCAATACTGACGGTGACAACACTGCTGTAGAATAAGTCTATGCTGCAAACGTCTTAAAAAGTCTTGAATGTAGATAAAAGAATTTTCCAGAGCGGGATAAGCATGTCGCTTTGCTCCTTTATGAAGTACCCCGTCAACACAAGGCATTGTATGTTTACAACAAATATTCCACGATAATATGTGCAGTTGTATTTTTGTTTCACTAAATGTGTATAATATGACATTTTTTGGTATGTTTTCATAAAATACCACGTCAATATTGTATGACATTATGTACATGTAAAGTTGTATTGTTTCAATAACTGGGAAATGACCTATCTACGCCCTCTACACATTTTACAATGCTCAAAGTTCAACTATACTTGAACAACAATCACATTACACACATGTACTATGCCTACCAATTAAATATACCAGGATCGTCATTAAATAACTGGTCCCAGTCTAAAGTATATACATCATAGATAAAACGTAGTCTTATGATTCTGATTTCGTTGATATAATTGTCGTATCCTCAAGAAGGGGAGATAAGCTAGTGGAAAAATGCAGTATTTCTGAACAAAACTTGGAGGCTGGAAGCCAGCCTATTACGTAGCATTGATATTAAAAAACGCACCATAAAATTGTTTGAAAGTGTACATAAATATTAGAAGTATCTTTTTACGTTGACAGATAACGACTTGGCTGTCATCGAATTTGCACTTATGCTGTAGTTTAAGAACTGCAAATAGCTCAACATAGTCAGTAATCTTCCGACATTCGGTTTGCTTATTTGTACATTTACTGTATGAAACTGAATCTTCACTCTCATTTACGCTTGACTTTCGTTGTCAGATGACGAGAGATAAGGGGATATTCCTTTATTTGAAGACATACTTGTGTTATCTTTGTCTTTAGTATGTAATGTTGTTAAGTTTCCGCTCTCATTTCCTCTCCTTGAACGTCTCACCGTTGTCCGCCTAATGTTTTCCTTTCTTAAGTCAGGTTGATGTGTATGTGTCACTTTGCTTTCAAAGTCTTGTTCTACATTAAATGTCATATTTGCTATCTCTACGTTTGATTCGCCTTCCCTACATTCTGATTTCTTTTTACTTTTTCTATTTTGTTTGTTTGAATTTTCCTGTCCTTTTATATCAGCGTCTCCCTCCTTTTGCACTGTTTTTTTCTTCTTCTTCTTCTGACTTCTTGGTTCCTTATATTCAAATGTCCCTAATATTTCACCAACAAGCGAGCTCAGAAGTGTGTTGCTCTGCCTTCCTTTCTTTCTAATGTTTTCACCAATATGATTCACATTACTATTTTCCGGCTCAACTTTATTATTCTTTTTCAGATTAACAGATTCTTCTCTAATTTTGTCTGTTTCTTCTTCATGTTTGTCATCTTTATCTGGTTTGGAAATGCTAATGCTTTCTCGATTTTCTTTTTCCTCAGCTTTATTTGGCCACATGACATGTTTATTCTTTATGACATCGTTGATAGTTTCCTCATCATGATCCTCAGTCTGTTCCCCAACTCGTTCTCTTGTTGACTTCCGTGCCATTCTTTTTTGTTTTCTCTGTACAGCCAATAGGTCGTCAACTGCTGTTTGATGAAACTCGTGGTTTTCGTCCTTTTCACTTTGGGAATCCTCGTTTGCGTTTTCAATATTTTCGACGCTGTCTGTTTTCATCTTGGTAAATAGAACAGCACGTGACGACCCCTACAATAATTACAATTTGAAGATGCATTTCGCAATTACATTACCATAATAGTGAAAAAAGTTGCAATCTACCTTGACCCGCATTGCAACTCTATAACATATATGTGTTCTGTCGACAAACTGATCACCTTCAATCTTGGACAAGTAATGTCAAATTATTTAATTCGTTATGAAGGAATCGTATCCGAGGTGCCTAGATACAGAATATGATAGGAACGATACCTCACGACAACTTCATTTGACCAATAGATGAAGGGAATATCACTGTCATAAAACAGCAGGAAAAAAGAAGGTAAAGTAAACGCGATATCGGCTATACCAAAACTACAAAACGATAAAAAGATACCAAAACGAAACAAGGTAAGGTTTTGCAGTAGGAAAACAAAGAAAATATAAGGAAAAAAGACATGTGTAAATGGGAAGAATGTCAATATCAATGAGAACTTCAAATGATATCAACATTAGTTTTGATGTTAACTATTATATGCAGTTTTTTCCTTTAGATCTACCCTTATGAACTTCTAGAATTATTCTATGCATCTATCAGTTAGGATGTGCCAAAACTATTCTCTTGATTAACTAACGGAAAAACTCTGCATGGCCTAGCAGGAAGGGTCCATTGGAGTTGTAATTATGAACCTACCCTTAAAGATCGTTTGGAGTTGTGTCTGTCGAGCCTCACTGTACCGGCCATGTCCTTGTGGTCAGTGCTCAAACTCTCCTCAATTTTATCAAGTCTACATCAGAAATTAGAAAAAATCATGGTAAGACGCAATTTATAACTAAACATTGATATCATATGAGGGTCCAGAAGAGTATTATGTCTAAACGTAATCACTATAGGAAATGTCCATATATTTCAAAGTATCCAAGGAGAAAGAAATTGACATATTTTAATAAACATACAGAATACGCATAATAATGAATTAAACATCAATCAGCTTTTTCGTCATTCACGTATCGTCCGTGATGGAAGGTGTATAAAGTATTTTATTAATTGCTAATTTTCAAAAGAATAAGTAAATAACATATATAGAGTTACGGTTAATTTCTGGGACTAAAGTCGACCATTAGATTAGACGCCAATGATTTCACAGGGATTGTTAAAAACCTCAAATGAAGAAACGTGAAGAAATAATCCTCAATCTAAAACAAGAATAAACCGTCAAAGCGTTTTGAACAATATACTGAATCAGATACTGTTACATAAAGTGTACATTGTATTAATTTACCTGCTAACAATTTTCTGTATCTGTATTGATAATGATGTTTGAGATTCCTTCAACTCTTTCTGAAACATGTTCTTACGTTCTTCGATTTGCATTCTGCTTACACGATCGTATTCGTTGTCTGAAAAAGTAATAGCATTCCCAAGTTATGAGTTCTTCTTGATGTGTCAGCACAATGGATATAAACTTGTTCATCTTCTATTCGTTGCTAGACTTTGGTTTACATTAACGGAAGAAGGGAGATGACTCTTTTTAGCAGAACATATACATACCTGTGAGAATTAACTGATTTCTTTCTGTTGTTTTTCGGCATTTACAGCAGAGTATAAACCTAAGGAAGTGGGCGATATGAATGAAGATAGAAAACGGTGGCACAAACACAGTCTTCAATTGGTACTCGTATGTCAAAAAGTACATGTTGTAGCGCCATATTGCCGCGGTCTTTTCAAATATGACGTTGTAGATGTTACTGTAATATAAAAAGTTGACACATTACCAGTATCTTGTCTGTATTAAAGGTTATATATATATTAATTGAATCATGTCGGAAATACGTGGAATTATTATCATCTGTTACAGAGAAACTATGTTATAATGTATAACAGAAGGGTGTACTTTGTTTTTACTTTATATGGAAGAGATAATATTACTCTTACCTGAAAATAGCAATTAGTAGGTTAAGTAGAAGGACGTTCGATAACAAGATGTAGATACCAAGGAATATATATACTAGACCATGTTGCTTTCTACAAAACCTAGCATCGTCGGTGCAATCTGGATCATCTGAAATGAGTCAAATCAGATAGGATTAAATAACACATATTAGTGGGCGAGAAAAAACACTACTTAAAACGTAGACCAAATATGATATAAAGGATTCATCTCGTCAACATTATTAATAACAAATATAAGTCTGGAACAGATATATGCACGGACGTGAAAAGCGAAGACGTTTGAACAGTGTTATAGGCATGACGTTTAATACGTTGCGCATTATTTTCACTGTACAGTTCAATATAATTCTTTTCATTAAAATATGTTGAAATTTTGAAAATGATACATAATAATTTGAAGCAAATTTGGTGATCATTTGAAAATAACTGTAAGGTCTTTTTGTATTTTAACTGTACTACGTAATGGTGGACGGTGTTAGCTAATAGTTTAGACGTGGCGATGGTCGCGCCAACATCTGTTGGAACTACAGAACAATTGCACAAATTACATATCAATATTACAGAAATTTATGTTTCGATGTGCTCCGGTTAAGATTCGCTAGCTAAGGCTTGATGATAGTTATAGTGTTGTATATGATCTTATAGAAAAAACTTATTTGCTTGAAATAGCCTATGGATAGATTCAATACCTGTTAGTAAGTACAATTGGTTTACGAAGACGCTTACCCTTTATAAGTACCTGGTCTTGTTATCTTTGGACCTTTGCGCGCGTCGTTAATATTGTTCATATTATGCATTTGTGTTAACAATATTGAGTTTGAATAAAGACATTTTGTTACTCTATCGGTGTCTTCGTGTTTTAACCTACCACCTATTTCTTCTAATCCCACCTCTCCGTACACAATCCAGTAGGGCTGGTAGAAAATGTCCCGAACGATTTCAAAAGTGGGATGTCGCTCCGTGTACAACAAGGCCTGACTAGATGTACCATACGCCACGATAAATATCAGGAGAATCAGAAGAAACTGTAGCATGGACGCCGTCTACAACACATTATGTACCAAATAGGATGGAAGGCATAAATAAATGTATTCAATTATACATGAAATGTACAAATTTGTAAGTCTGCGATTAAACCTTTTTGCATATAATGTCTTTCGAATATGAAATAAAATTCACATTATCATCGTTCCTTGTCAACTGAAGAAGGCTAAATATAAACATTCAAATCGCCCATTAATAATTATGCACACCTACGGATCAATGGTTCAAAAACCTTATTGTACCACGCAAAAACAAAAGAATAACGATGAACTATCGTATTTAATGTTATAGATGTATATGATGTATAACAGGAAGTGCAGGATGTTTATCCTGTTAAATACTAAATTGCATAGGTTAGGTAAGAAAGAAAAGTAATGTATGCAGGAAAACGTTCACCTAGCAGTTCTTATAGCCTTGAAATAAAACAAACATCCAGAGATAGTCAACGGAAAATTGTATTTCCAGCAACTGTGTTTTAGATTTTTTACTTCCAGAATTTGTCGATGAAGCAATGTATTCCAAAAGAAATAATCACAACAGAACTTGCTGAAAACCATTTCCTTTCAATAAAGTCACAGTAACTTTGGTCTTTCATTTAAGATCTTGAAAGCTACCATAATCCCCCGTCAGAATTTTCTTCTAGGAAGAAGTGGATGAAGTATGAGAAAAATAGCATTAGAGAATAGTAGATATTGTACGGAAACTGATTTCCTAAGCAGCAGTGACATTGACTTCTGGACCTGAAAAGAAATTCCAAGCAATCCCCTGCTTGGAGAACAGAATGAATGAAGAGGATTGTATTTTGTTTCTTACCATTTCCTTTACCATGACCACTTGGGGTCCTAGTGTCTGATCCACGATGTAAGCCTTGAATATTTTGAGTTGAAATATGACGAGGTTGATTGAGTAGGCTATCTTTGTGAAGGTTTGATCTGGTTCGACATAGTGGACACAGTAACCAAGAACAAACAACATAGCGTTTAGGAACTCCACGATAGTTGTCACACCCATAATGTCACGGAAAGTAGCCTTCCAACCTGCTGTGGGGAAAATCCCTAACTGCAAGAAATTGGAAATAGGTATATTTCATAATTTACATATGAAGATTTCTGTAAATTTTAACCATATCTATATTTTTACTCGTTTATATTTTGTATCATTCAAATATTTCTTTCAAAATAAGTTACATGTTTGACATATGAAATAAATTGATCTGGGCCATAGGCTGTATTGAGAAAACAAAGTATTATCACCAAATAAGACAAGAACGTCGATAGTTTTTGAAACCCCGACAAGAAACATTGAAGTAGAAAGATGTAATACATAACTATATCCAACCATAGACAAAGTTACGTTTAGAATAAGCGATTTTATTTCAGATTCTGTGTCAACATGTACATTAAGTAGACATGAAAAGAATCAAATTGAAAATAACCTCTTATCCAACATCGGTTACAAATAAGAACATTAAATTATTAGTCAACTAACGTGTAAGTATGGTATGGTATAAACGAAGGCATATCCTAATCTGATGAAAATTATGGGGACGTGTTTTGGTTACCATAGTGATTTCCTTGTGAAATATTTAATTTCTTTGTGTGACATAAAGCTAGACGTATCTGATGCTCGATAGTTTGACAGTTGGTTCCGCTGTTGTATGCACTGTTCTCATTTGAGAAAGTGACCTTACTTACTTCGATTGACGAAAGTTTACATGGCGGGTGTCGTCGATGCAGAAGACGCTTACTATTCCTGAACACCTGATCTTATTCTCATTGAACTGTTTCAGGAGTCTCCACGTAAATCTTTCTTTTGTTCATATTTTGTCCTAGTTTTATGGAATTTGATATTTTCATGATTTTTTTCACTTTATTAAATCTGTGATGCAAAAGCATTAAACAAATAAGTAAAAGAGATTCAGGTGCTACTCTTATGAAACAAACCAAGCCGAGAGATACCGTACTTACTGTATACAATTCGTCCACCTGTAGTGTGAGTATCCAAGCGAGACATACGCTCTCTATGGTGGTAACAGAGGCCTTCTTAAAGTCAACCAGAACCATGTACACGAACAATGCCAGGAATACGAAATACGTCATCTAATAGAAACAACAAACGCAATTTTTTGTTTAAATATGAATTGTAAGTTTCCTTTACATAACCATTCTAATTATAAATGCAAAGGAAAACGAAATATTGACTGGATTTTTTCCGGACCGATGATTGCATACATTATAATATATTGTTACAATGTGACTAAAAAGGGAATACTACAAAAGTGCTTGACTTTTATCCATGAGGACTTTATTTGTGTTTCTGATAACATGTGACTTACATTATGATAAAAGAACTTTGTCCTCGGGGATTGGAAGTAAAGTTTGAACTTTTGATACGTTCGCACGAAAAATCTGGATCCCCCTTTTCTGCCATAGGTCTCCTCCAAACCTTCCGTCTTTTGGAGAATATATGGAACTCTTACTTTCATGACTGGTGTGGCCACAAGGATAGGTAAGACTTGTAACAAGACCATCTGAAGGCAATTCAAGGAATTATCATGAATAAGGGTACAACAGCTTGGCACGATATACACTTACAAAAATGTATATATTGTGAAAGTGTTTTGATCATAAGTTTAAGGACGTATTCTTATACACAAGAACTTTTTAAACTTGTAAACCAGCGATAACAACAACATGTCAGGAATAGAGCAAAATCAACGCAAGTTACATGTATTAATTCTGTGTAGCGTAGGATTTAGTGCCTCGGAATATCGTTTCTTGCACCACTTTCTTGCCGGCCGTAATTCGCCGTGCGTGACCAAATAATTGTAACATGAAAAACGATTTTTTCATAATTTTCTTACAGAAACCCGAAAAACTGCATTTACATTTACATACCCGTTTAACATTGACAAAAACGCCGCCGTTCCATATATCATCCATGAACTTCTGTACTGCCTGTGCCGCCATGAAATTCTAAAATAGACAAATACAAAAGGAGGTGAATATACAAATGTTACACATTAAGGTAATATCAATACCTTCTATTAAAATACTGACAGAGCCGAAGGTTATATGGCCTGTCCACTTGTCGCGTCATGTTGCTAACATATTTATTATATGTACATTTCAATCCGTGTTTCACAAATAACATTACCGTGACGTTTCCACTAGCTGCCATTTGTAGTACGGATAATCCACCCCACATAGACGAAGGACTACACAAGAGCAGTTGTGTAAGATTTTCGTTCCCGACATTACAAGCACTCAGCAGCTGGATGGCCAAATCCTCAAACATCCTGTTTGTGTATCAATAACAAGTGATTTTTACAAAATTATGTTTCTCCAACAATTCATTAGAGTATTTTGCTTTGAAAAAAAACTGTTTGTACTTTATTTTCATCCTTCAAGATGAAGAATGAAATATACACATTTGGAACTATTGTGTTGCTACCATCAAAGCAATTCTGATTATCATGCTTCATTGAATATCTGACATGAAAATATTTTGGTCATTTTAATATTGAAATTTATCGTCAACAGTGTCGACACAAAAACAGTTATCAATTACTCTGTAAGATGCTTGTTTTTTTTCCAGGATGTATCACTATAACTGTCTTATTAAAATTGCACTCCACGTTCTCGTAATTTCACTACAATTGAGTATTATGCAGTAAAAAACCCGTAAGATCAGGTACTTTTTATTCCTGTCAAGTGTTCTCTTCTCGTCTTGAAATCTATCATCTATCTGGGATTTGATTGTCTCCATTAAATGGCACATGGCGATGGCACTCTGTAGCGGTTCCTGCCTCAGCATTCGCCAAGCAAACTTTGCAATATCTGATCTGAAAATGTTAAATCTTCTGTCAGCCATTTAACTTTTCTATATAATAAATCCATTAGTTATATTGTTTAGACTTATTTCGTTTTTACCACAATATTTCTTATCAATCAATATTTCATCAAAGGAATCACATAAAAATAAGCAAAATAATGCAGGAACAGGAAAATGGAAAGAAATAAAGAATACAATAGGAAATATTGATTCTAGTACAGTACAACATATATCGAGTAAGGTACGCATTATATCTCATTAATATCACCTTTTCAAATAGGTACATGACTGTTATAAACGGAATGGTCAGATGTAAGGGACTGTATGATAATCAAATTTGAGACTATTGTTAAGACATAATTGGAATCATTGAAATATTAATTCGTTTTCAGGAACAGATAAAAATGTATTCAAAGAAAGTAGGACTACTGTTAATTGTATTTCACGGGGGTTCTTAGGAAGCTTTTGCGCCTCAACAATTGCTTTGTTATGGGGAAAATTACACATTTGAACAAACGTTGCTGATCTTTATAAGGTTCAGATTTATTGACGTCTGTTTTGTTAAAACAGGAAATCGATTGACTCTCCAGATCTAGAAACCAAGACCCTTTTATATTTACCTTAAGAAGATAACGGCCCAGATTAGTAGGTGTTTGTACGGGTAGGAGTAGTTTCCAGGACGGTCTGGCAGCAAAGTTTTGATATTTCTATCCATATACACTGCTGTCTTCTGTTGAAGCTCTATTTCTGAAGCCACGAAGTCATCATCATATCTATCAAATAGGGTTTTCAACACACGCACTGTGAATGTTCGTTCTGATATGGTCTTCACCTCGTCCCGCTGCTTTTCATCATGACGAAGATATGTTGGAGCTATGTCCTCCCAGATAGTCATCCCGTAATCATAGCATGCCTATAGTTAGTAAATAATTAACATTAAACATATTCTAATTTTGATTGAAATCTTTAACAATTATTTTGTAATAACGTGTTTTAATGTCTTACCCTTTCGTAAAGCTGATGCAGATTTTTACTGATGAAATTATTGAAATCAACAACAGTGCTTTCTTTGCCGATGAGTTCTTCGATCCAGTCAAGTCGATCTTCTTGTGTGGTAATGGCTGTCAACAGAGTTTCGTGAAACAGGTCCGTATCACAAGCTGAAACACAAAATTAAACTTTATAAAACTTCTCTTCTATCTACCTATGAAGTTATATGTTGATACCACCTATAGTTTTTTCTGTTATGATCCGGATAATATTACGACGGACGGTCGGACGGACGGACGGACAAAGTGGCGACTATATGTTCTCCCTTCGGGGAGCATATTAAAAATAACCATGCTTATCATATCTTGTTAAGTAGTCCGTTTTGTGGGTAAAGATTGGCGTAAGTGGCAGAAAATGTATTGTCCTTGATTACTTAGCCAGATTTCTGTCCCGAAACACAAAGACTATGACAACTAAATTCTTATTTCGAATTGGAAATTGCACATTACAAAAAATACCTTTTTCCTGGAATTTAGCTTAATACATTTTCAATGTTTATTATCATTAAAAATTAGAAATATCTATAAACTATATACAATCAAGGTGCAGGGTTAGAAGTTCCTGGACTTGTTCGTTTTTCAGCATATTCCATTCCACCGCTAGACTCATGATCCTGCTCAACCTCTTCTTATGTTCTGTAAAATAGTAAGCATATCAGACAACTACTATTTGCATGAATGATATGTTTATCAAATACACTAATAACTGTGGCAGTAGCAAAACTTCAGTTTTTTCATCTATGTATGCGAATAAAACCACTGAAGTAAGCGAACACATACTTTACAAAAACATTAATAACGGAGGTTTGATTACTTAACGACAAAAATAATATTACTTGTGCTGCTCTTCAGTAGAACAGTGAGAATCTTATTGTTGAAATCAATATCCTTCTCCAAGTCGCACACAGCAACACAATCTTCGCCGTCCTGTCATAAAAAATGACAAACCAATAGTTATATTTAAACCAAAGTGAATTAAATACACAAAATACACACAAGTAAATACCACCTTGAAACAAACAAAAATAGGATTAGATAAAGTACAAGGAGAATAAAACAAGGTGTATTGGAAGTCTTCTGCTTCATCGCCGACACCTGGTAATTCCAAGTATGTCATATCACTTTCCCGAAAAAGAACAAATTAAACAACAACTGAACTAGCAAGTATACGAGAATAGTATATCTATATATATTACCATTTTAAGCATTTAAAGAAATATACTATTTCATGACACAAGAATGACGAACGGAATACCAAAATATATATTGCATTTTTTGTTAAATTTTGTGTTTTCTTATATTCAAAGCATAAACGAAAAATGAATCAAAGAGGGAATCAACCAACTTTTCATTTTCGTAAGTATTGTGCTGTTCAATTTCACTTACAGTTTGAAGATTTTCTGATAATTCCATCAGCTGACTCGATATTCGATCTCTCTCACTTTTAGTGTAACTTCTCTTGACCGCAATGTATTGCAGGAAAGCTTCCTTTAAATCACTGAAACACGTGAATAATGGTGTCGTTCTATTCCTGATAAAGTAAATTAAGATAGCCAGTGAAACGTTTTGCTTTTACATTGAAAGTTTACACAGAATCTCCGTTGCCATGATAACATAACGCCATAATGTTGTTACGTATCACGATGCTCTGGAGTTACAGTGCTTTGTCTTGCATTACAAACATTCAGTAATAGATCACTCCCAACAAACAAAGAAGGACAACTCTAACAACATTTTTTGGTAAAGTTCATGTGGTCTGATCTGTTTCTAAATAATGGTCAGCATGTCACGAAATGTACTAGAATAAACAGACGATGGTATTGAATCTGTTCAGTACCTATACGATACATGGTAAGTAAACAGTGATATTCTGAAATAAATCTCCGAAACTGATAACAGGTTGAAAAGTAATCCAACATATCAAACATGTTTTGAACCAATGAACGACTATGCCTAGAATTTGTTTCCATAACTACTTACTAACCGGAATGCAAATATTAATTCTCGAAATGACGATTAGATGTCAATCAGTTAATTTTTTTGATGATAAGGTTTCCTGATTGCTGTATACAGTTCTTTAACATAAACTACCGTGTAAAGTACATTGTGTACATAAATTTCATAATTATCACAGAAGTAAAATGATGAAGGAAAGCAGTTTCTTATTCGTATTATGATAACTATTTACTCAAACTCCATATTTGGACTGTTGGCATTGGCGATGAATCCTGCCAACCCGTCTGTACCCTTAATCACCAACACTGGCAGCTTAGCCTTTAGAGCGAGGTCAATATAAGTCAACATTGACTCATCCCCTCCAGCCAGAACTATGACCACCGGAGATGAAAGTTGCGTGTGTTCCTCTGAAACATATAAATTAATCTGAACCAGCTGATTAAATGAAAATTTATTATCTCTCGTGTAAATATAACTGGATCCAAATCATCCTTGTATTTTTATTTAAATGAAAATTCAAATGCAAACCAAGCAGTCTCGTTACTAAGGCAGCATAACCATGCCTACCAATTCTTCGAAAACTGTATTTCTTTATGTATTGAGATATTTTCCTCGATATATGCCAGTCAGGTTACTTGAATAAATATCATCACATGAAAACATTCATCTGTCTATCATAGTACCCGAATGTTCGTCTTCATTGAGTTCCATGAGCTTCTGTTCTATTCGGTGACGATACTGCATCACGATCTCTGAATATTCCCCGACTCTAGTGTCACTATAATATTTCGGTTGGTCATGAGGAAAGTCTACAAACATGTGATAACCAAGGCCATGACACAAGCGTGTGTTGCCTCTCGTCTCAATGTCCGGACAAGACTTGGTGTGCGTTCGTGAGCTGCTCTGCAAAGAGTTTTCAGTGTAAAACGTCTAAAGGCATTCGCACCAAATCAATGCAAAACAGTTACAAACTATTATTACATTTTAAGGCTTTGTACTTGCAGAGAAAAAACAATAATGAAAATGTGGTTATAATATAGAAGTTTGGAATGGCATTTATAAATAATACACACCGTAAACGTTCTCGGATCAGCTACGAGATTGGGTTTGTGTTTAATAAGGTTCCACGGGGTCAGTCCGATAAGTGGAATCTTGCGCTGCTTATAGGACTGGTTTGTCTTGCTGAACACCTTATTCACCGATTTGGTTATACCCTCGTCTAAACCGGAAGTCATAATCATGGCATCAGCATCCCGGGAAAACTACGTAAATCACCAGGAACGATTGTTTTAACATATGTGTTACCAAATGTTTTTTTAAACTTCAAAATATCAAATATATGAAAAGTTCAAACTTAAAAACGATAAATACATCATGGACTTACACATAAAACTTTGAAAACAACGCAACGATGTAAATCATAACCAACCTGGACAAGTTTAGACTGGAAATTCCTCCCAAGTCGGATAGGAATCTCGTCACCAACAACAGATATAACCAAGCCTGTTTCTTTGATTTTCCAATACTTTGAAAAATATTCGAGAATTTTTCCAGGATCATTCGACGTGGCTACTTGGACATACTGAAAAGTGATACCAAGACATTGTGTTTTTCAGCTTAAATGATCATAAAAATAGGATCATAAATTGCATATTACATCAACGTTACGTATACAATGGTCCAAAGTGCAAAGTACATAATTATAGTTTATAAAATCACGTTTATAAAAATGTTTGACGAACCCTGAGTGAACTAAGACGGCTCCTCCATCTTCTTCCAAAATATACAGAGTTTCTTCGGGACTGATCGCCTCCTATAAGTACAGTTAAATAAACAAATGAATAATTCATGTTCCTTCAGAAACACATCGAAGTCATATCCAGTTAACAGATTACATCAAAAATATATTGTTGTATGTGTAATATGTGAAAACAAGTTTTCTGTATTTCTTATCTTCCCATCAAACAAAACGATGTAGTTCTTATATCACCTTTATAACATCCTCGATTCTCCAGGGGTTACAATCACTACACCTCGATACTCCCGGAGTTACAATCACTACACCTCAATACTCCAGGGGTTACAATCACTACACCTCGATACTCCCGGAGTTACAATCACTACACCTCGATACACCAGGGGTTACAATCACTACACCTCGATACTCCAGGGGTTACAATCACTACACCTCGATACTCCAGGGGTTACAATCACTACACCTCGATACTCCAGGGACTATAATCACTACACCTCGGTACTCCAGGGGTTACAATCACTACACCTCGATACTCCAGGGGTTACAATCACAACACCTCGATACTCCAGGGGTTACAATCACTACACCTCGATACTCCAGGGGATACAATCACTACACCTCGATACTCCAGGGGTTACAATCACTACACCTCAATACTCCATGGACTATAATCACTACACCTCGATACTCCAGGGGTTACAATCACTACATCCTCGATTCTCCAGGGGTTACAATCACTACATCCTCGATTCTCCAGGGGTTACAATCACTACATCATCGATTCTCCAGGGGTTACAATCACTACATCCTCGATTCTCCAGGGGTTACAATCACTACATCCTCGATTCTCCAGGGGTTACAATCACTACATCCTCGATTCTCCAGGGGTTACAATCACTACATCCTCGATTCTGCAGGGGTTACAATCACTACATCTCGATTCTCCAGGGGTTACAATCACTACACCTCGATACTCCAGGGGTTACAATCACTACACCTCGATACTCCAGGGGTTACAAACACTACACCTCGATACTCCAGGGGTTACAATCACTTTACCTCGATACTCCAGGGGTTACAATCACTACACCTCGATACTCCAGGGGTTACAATCACTACATCCTCGATACTCCAGGGGATACAATCACTACACCTCGATACTCCAGGGGTTACAATCACTACATCTCGATACTCCAGGGACTATAATCACTACACCTCGATTCTCCAGGGGTTACAATCACTTTACCTCGATACTCCAGGGGTTACAATCACTACACCTCGATACTCCAGGGGTTACAATCACTACACCTCGATACTCCAGGGGTTACAATCACTACACCTCGATACTCCAGGGGTTACAATCACTACACCTCGATACTCCAGGGGTTACAATCACTACACCTCGATACTCCAGGGGTTACAATCACTACACCTCGATACTCCAGGGGTTACAATCACTACACCTCGATACTCCAGGGGTACACCTCGATACTCCAGGGGTTACAATCACTACACCTCGATACTCCAGGGGTTACAATCACTACACCTCGATACTCCAGGGGTTACAATCACTACACCTCGATACTCCAGGGGTTACAATCACTACACCTCGATACTCCAGGGGTTACACTACACCTCTCCAGGGACTATAATCACTCGATACTCCAGGGGTTACAATCACTACACCTCGACCTCGATACTCCAGGGGTTACAATCACTACACCTCGATACTCCAGGGGATACAATCACTACACCTCGATACTCCAGGGGTTACAATCACTACACCTCGATACTCCAGGGGTTACAATCACTACACCTCGATACTCCAGGGGTTACAATCACTACACTCCAGGGGTTACTACACCTCGATACTCCAGGGGTTACAATCACTACACCTCGATACTCCAGGGGTTACAATCACTACACCTCGATACTCCAGGGGTTACAATCACTACACCTCGATACTCCAGGGGTTACAATCACTACACCTCGATACTCCAGGGGTTACAATCACTACACCTCGATACTCCAGGGGTTACAATCACTACACCTCGATACTCCAGGGGTTACAATCACTACACCTCGATACTCCAGGGGTTACAATCACTACAACTGTATCCTAGATACTCCAGGGGTTACAATCACTACACCTCGATCACTCACTACACCTCGATACTCCAGGGGTTACAATCACTACACCTCGATACTCCAGGGGATACAATCACTACACCTCGATACTCCAGGGGTTACAATCACTACATCTCGATACTCCAGGGACTATAATCACTACACCTAGATACTCCAGGGACTATAATCACAACACCTCGATACTCCAGGGGTTACAATCACTACACCTCGATACTCCAGGGGTTACAATCACTACACCTCGATACTCCAGGGGTTACAATCACTACACCTCGATACTCCAGGGGTTACAATCACTACACCTCGATACTCCAGGGGTTACAATCACTACACCTCGATACTCCAGGGGATACAATCACTACACCTCGATACTCCAGGGGTTACAATCACTACATCTCGATACTCCAGGGACTATAATCACTACACCTCGATACTCCAGGGGTTACAATCACTACACCTCGATACTCCAGGGGTTACAATCACTACACCTCGATACTCCAGGGGTTACAATCACTACACCTCGATACTCCAGGGGTTACAATCACTACACCTCGATACTCCAGGGGATACAATCACTACACCTCGATACTCCAGGGGTTACAATCACTACATCTCGATACTCCAGGGACTATAATCACTACACCTCGATACTCCAGGGGATACAATCACTACACCTCGATACTCCAGGGGTTACAATCACTACATCTCGATACTCCAGGGACTATAATCACTACACTTTTGATTTCAGAATATTTTATTGTCTTGGTGGTATTAACAATAGGAATTGGGCAACAGGCAGAGCCTATGAAAGCCCTCTCCTTACAGTGCATAAACAAGTATACAGACACATCAATCAAAATTAAAGATAACAGATAATAATAATATTAGGAATAAGAATGTAGAAGATAGATTCAAATGGATGATTATATAACAGAAATGCAAAATAGGCATCACCATCATTTGTATTATTGAGTTCCAGAGCAGTAACATTAACTAAAAAGTACAATTAGGCATCACAAGATATTACAAGACTGGGTCAAAATATGTCCATTTGTGGTGGGACAGGCTGCAGGTTCAAACAGTCCATTTGCACACAATCCTGAGTCCCTAAAATGGACGGGCGGACCCACACTTGGGACATCAAATACAAATGAAAGATAGAAAAGATAGAAGTATAGAATGGGATGTACATTTGCTAAAACAGGCGACCAGTGTCAGTTATGAATATCTGAACTATATTAAGAATAAATTTATTCATGTTTGCATCAAGTATAGGAGAACCTTTAAGAAATGTATCAATTGTAGGAGGTATAGAATCACTAAGGTCAGAAAGGGAATTAAAGCGGAGTTGTCTCTGGTAACACTACACATTGTTACTCCAGGGACTATAATCACTACACTTTGCTACTCCAGGGACTATAATCACTACACTTTGATACTCCATGGACTATAATCACAACACCTCGATACTCAAGGGGTTACAATCACTACACCTCGATACTCCAGGGACTATAGCCACTACACCTCGATACTACAGGTACTATAATCACTACACTTCGATACTCCAGGGTCTATAATCACTACACCTCGATACTCCAGGGATTATAATCACTACACTTTGATACTCAAGGGGTTACAATCACTACACTTTGGTACTCCAAGGACTACAATCACTACACCTCGATACTCAAGGGGTTACAATACTTTCACTCTCTGCTCCCGTGGAACATGTCAAGGCACCTCGAGGTCACATAATGGTATATCGCATTGGCTTTGAATTTGGCTGTCCTTTGTTATATTCAAAAGAACGTATCAGCCTGTGACTGGTCCGTTGTTTTCTCCTGGAACCAATTAAATTACTTCGTTTGTGCCTTCAATTTTGCCATGACATGTTCCAGGTGTGTAGAGAGCGGAAATGATCGTAACCACTGGATTATGGAGGGTGCCTTTTTACTTACTTTTATCTTTTCGGTGTTCAATAAGTGTTTGACCACACTTGCAGCTAAAACGATAAACACATTATTACAGGAAATGGTTTTGAATCAGTTCTTCAATACGAAATACTCTTTGAAGGTATCATAACTATTATGTTCGGTAGCTATCCGTAAACAGATCGCGCAATGACGAGGTATGGTTTTTAATAAAGTTCGTGAAAAGTGTTATGAAAATCCAAATGTTGTAAATGTAGATTGGAACGTTTACTATTAAACCCCTCGATTACTTACGTTTACATTATAGAACCATCATATAGGTTATCTAAATCTGGCATGATAAGTTACTCCGAGAAAACATGACGTGATAAAAAGACAAATACTAGTGCCATAGGTCTTGTCGACATGTATTAGAGTACCTTACATTTTTGTGTTTTCAAGCAGTCCTTCCTGACCCTCCTCCTGGTCAAACCGTCCACAATGAAATTCATGGAAGTTTGATGAGATAAATCCAAGTTCACCATATCTGTTCTGTGGACATTGACGGAAAACATGATATAGTGCTCTATGTGTACAGGCATATTTGGTGAATAACTGGAAAATACTGGAGATATATCAGCAAAGAAAATAAAAGAACAGTGAAATAGGAAACAGGGTGTAAGTGAATGATGACACCGTCGTCATCTTCACTACCGTATAATAAAATTATCTCGATGTTTCCTGTATTGGTGGTGTTATTTGTACATTTGATGATACAAATTATCCTAGAAGTAACTGGATTTCGATCTTTACGATAAAGACGAACGTGAATTCACTTTGTTGATACTGTCGACGCTAATAATTCCCAAACTTTTTATACAGTGGTTCATTCATGTTTGGAACCGCTTTTTCTCATTTGTTTCTCCTTTCAAAATGAAACGTAAATAAAACTTTCTGGTTTGCCTTTAAATGTTATATATGTTTCACTTGTATGACAAAAGAGATATATTCTTAGACTTGTCCTCATGAAATATATATAATGTATAGAATTTAACGAGAAACCATTGAATATCCTCTAAGTATTTTGGAGGGATTATATTATCCATATCTATAGACACGTCTTCATGAAATAAAAAGAAAACGGTTATGGATTTAGAACTGCTGTATGTAAGGTGTATTATTGGTCGACATATTAAAGTTTTAACGCAAAATTATATTTCTGTAAAAACCACGAAATTTGAGCCCGGTGAAAACATGATTTTACAATGATGAATATATTTCTTAAACTTCATCATGGACACACATACCTTTGTATTGTCGATGTCCTGCCTCCATTGTACATCGTGGACAGTCGCAGTATTCATCCTTGAAGACAGTGAAAAGACATATTACACAGTTACCACAAAAGACAAAGATAATGTAATTATTTGATGGTGTCGAAAACGCTATACCGTTTTGGACTTTTTGTACGACATATTGGCGAAAGTAAAATGTAGATACCGTATATTTTAAACGTCATTTGTCTGTCAAACAAAGATATATAATATAAATAGATGTGTGTGTGTGTGTGTGTGTGTGTGTGTGTGTGTGGGTGTGTGTGTGTGTGAGGGTGTGTGTGTGTGTGTGTGTGTGTGTGTGTGTGTGTGTGTGTGTGTGTGTGCGGGGTGTGTGTGTGTGTGTGTGTGTGTGTGTGTGTGTGTGTGTGTGTGTGTGTGTTTGTGTGTGTGGTGTGCTTTGTGTGTGTGTTGTGTGTGTTGTGTGTGTGTGTGTGTGTGTGTGTGTATGTGTTGTGTGTGTGTGTGTGTGTGGTGTGTTTTGTGTGTGTGGTGTGCTTTGTGTGTGTGTGTTGTGTGTTGTGTGTGTGTGTGTGTGTGTGTGTGTGTGTGTGTGTGTGTGTGTGTGTGTGTGTGTGTGTGTGTGTGTGTGTGTGTGTGTGTGTGTGTGTGTGTGTGTGTGTGTGTGTGTGTGTGTGTGTGTGTGTGTGTGTGTGTGTTTGTTTGTTTGTTTGTGTGTGTGTGTGTGTGTGTGTTTGTGTGTGTGTGTGTGTGTGTGTGTGTGTGTGTGTGTGTGTGTGTGTGTGTGTGTGTGGGGGTGTGTGTGTGTGTGTGTGTGTGTGTGTGTGTGTGTGTGTGTGTGTGTGTGTGTGTGTGTGTGTGTGTGTGTGTGTGTGTGTGTGTGTGTGTGTGTGTGTGTGTGTGTGTGTGTGTGTGTGTGTGTGTGTGTGTGTGTGTGTGTGTGTGTGTGTGTGTGTGTGTGTGTGTGTGTGTGTGTGTGTGTGTGTGTGTGTGTTTGTGTGTGTGTGTGTGTGTGTGTGTGTGTGTGTGTGTGTGTGTGTGTGTGTGTGTGTGTGTGTGTGTGTGTGTGTGTGTTTGTGAGTGTGTGTGTGTGTGTGTGTGTGTGTGTGTGTGTGTGTGTGCACAGTCTATGATAATATTTTCTGTAGATATAATAACTGAAATTATCAGCCTATTGCTGGTTTTCGGTGACTCAGAAGAATATTTTCCACTATTCAATGTTGCCATTAAGGTATAGTATAACGGTAATTGTATATTTGCATGTTAACCTGTCATAAAAACGTTACAATGCATATGTGCCGGCTTGTATGAGCAAGTTCGTCTGTCTAACTATGTATAACTAAATTCTCTGTAAACTAGTGATCGTACCGTCCATTGACGCGCAGTCCATTCATTGTGCAGATTACACCGTGTATATCAAAGTTTTATTTTATAGAGCCTGAATTAGGAGTTCAAGTACACAACCTGAAGGAGTCTAAATCTGCTTTCTGATAACGTCATAACTGTTAGTATGTAGTATTCAGAGAGGGACAAAAGCTATTTACTACCGGACCATGGGATTTTTATATCCCTACATAATTTATCAACATATTGTAATATTAGGGTTTGGCTATTTAGGGCGACAAAGAAAGGACACAGCTCGATTTGTGTACAGTTACACACAAGGACACAGCCTGTTTAGTTTAGTTACAGAAAGGACACGGCCTGGTTAGTTTAATTACAGATAGGACACAGACTGGCCAGTTTAATTACAGAAAGGACATAGCCTGGATAGTTTAATTACAGAAAGGACATAGCCTGGTTAGTTTAGTTACAGAAACTTAGTTTAGTTACAGAAAGGGCACAGCCTGGTTAGTTTAGTTACAGAAAGGACACAGACTGGCTAGTTTAATTACAGAAAGGACACAGCCTGGTTAGTTTAATTACAGAAAGGACACAGACTGGCTTGTTTAATTACAGAAAGGACACAGCCTGGTTAGTTTAGTTACAGAAAGGACACAGCCTGGTTAGTTTAATTACAGAAAGGACACAGACTGGCTTGTTTAATTACAGAAAGGACACAGCCTGGTTAGTTTAGTTACAGAAAGGACACAGCCTGGTTAGTTTAGTTACAGATAGGACATAACCTGGTTAGTTTAGTTAAAGAAAGGACACAGACTGGACAGTTTAATTACAGAAAGGACACAGCCTGATTAGTTTAATTACAGAAAGGACACAGCCTGGTTAGTTTAGTTACAGATAGGACATAGCCTGGTTAGTTTAGTTACAAATAGGACATAGCCTGGTTAGTTTAATTACAGAAAGGACATAGCCTGGTTAGTTTAGTTACAGGTAGGACATAGCCTGGTTAGTTTAGTTACAGAAAGGACACAGACTGGCTAGTTTAGTTACAGAAAGGATACAGACTGGCTAGTTTAATCACAGAAAGGACACAGCCTGGCTAGTTTAATTACAGAAAGGACACAGCCTGGCTAGTTTAAAAACAGATAGGACACATCCCGGTTAGCTTATAGTTATAAATACTTATAATACTTAGTGGTTACGATCATTTTCACTCTCAGCACCTCATGAACATGTTAAAGCAAAACTGAAGGCACAAGAGAAGTAATTTGATTGGTTGACAAAATACTTACCAATTACAGACTGAAACGCTCCGTTTTAAAGATACCAAAATGGCGACTCCGAATGTCAAAGCCATTACAATATACCGTTATACGACCTGTAGATCTGATTGATGTACATCGAATGATCACACTAGTCTTTTCGTATCGCCACACATGAAGCATTCAATTTTAACATGACATGTTCCAGGGTTGCAGAGAGTGATCGTAACCCCCTATCAGTATGTCCTAAACCTGTAATTATCACTGTAGATCTAGCTAGCTATATGTCGAACATTTATCTATTATGCTACCTACATGTACATCACAATATATCCAACACATGCTAATCATTTTCTACCCATTACTTACATGCTTTATGGATACACTAGCCAGTACGTGTACGATGATCAAATGCCAACCAAGTGATTAATTATATATTAAAACTATACATTATACAATTACTTCATGCTTGTGAATTATCATTGTCCATTATTATTCCTTGTACATCTGTCTAAAACCTTCATACAATTTTGTACATTTATCTAAAAGCTTCATACAATTTTGTATATGTATAACTAAACGTTTTGTTACTGGACTTGCAGAATGTTGACACTAAATATAACTAGATTACCTTAGTGTGCATGGAAACACCTAACCGTTATAAGCAAGAGTGCCATATACGTTGCAGCTTTACGTTGAATATACTTATATAATATTGATTATGACACATGTGGAAAACAAAAAGTCCAAAATAAGCCTTAGACTCGTTCCATAAATCAAATAAGTAACGTGGGATTCAATACAGACATGTATCTACAAATTATCCACATGTTGATTTCATATCTAACAGGCTTCCGATGTATTCTACTGAATTATGATCCCCCTAGATTTGTAAAACAATAGTTTGTTGTTTTATAGACATCAACTGCAGGTCGACATCAGATACATTTGTATTAACCTATGATTGAAACGTCGTTTTTACACTGAAAAGTCCGGACTGTAAGATATCTGAAACTATTGTATACCTGTCTCGAAGGTATACATTCATACATGTTACACAATAATATATGTTAATTTGTTAGGTTTACGACATGTGTTGTACAATTTCTGTACATAAGATACACGATGAAATCAAACTACTATATTAGTAGACCTACCTTCACTTTAAGGACGAAATCTGTTATTCCCAAACACCATTGTAGTTTACGTTAAATCACACTAAACAATATATGATATTTAAAACCTTCTGTACACAATGTCAATCACTATAAATGGTAGCGAATAGTTTGTCAGTTTATAAAAGATATTTCCTAAACAGACCGTGGTTTGTACGCACCAGTATGCCTAATCTGCCATGCACACAAACAATACACACAAGAGTTGGTACATGAGCGACAAACGTCACACAGATAGTTACGGGTATATTTAATCTACGAGACATATTTCTATTGTCAATACACCTGTCTAAAGGTCTGATACATTCTCTGTAATAAGTAATAAGTCGATGCCTGCATCGTGAATCGATCAAGCATTGCTAACAGGTAAGCAGAGCGTGGGAGGACCGCCGAACCGCGGGTATAACATGTCAACGTTACGTCAATACCGTTAGGTTAATACTATGAGTATCTCCGACAAAATGTCACTGTAACTAATGGTCATGTGTGTATGTGGCTTCATCAGGTTGACATTACCTCTAAAACTGAGGTTTTGAAAGAATGGCTGCATAATGCATTATTAAAGTGCTGGAGCATCATGGTGAATAGTGGGTCGTGCAGGAGAACATCGATCCTGCGTAAATCGATCACATTAGGTATATAATCGTCAGTATATGTCTCGATGTCTTGGTCTGGTATTACCTTCTTTCTCCTTAGTATATCACCGTATCGACAAGAATGTAGATAAAGCATCCTGATCACTGTGTCCTACTCATAACGTCGATATGTTGGTACAAGTCTCAAATGCTAATCAATTTGAACTGTTCAATTTCAAACAAATGTTTAATTCGGTAAGTGATATACCGTGGAAAAGAGTAAGATTTTATTATCATTATTATTTTTATTATTACATAGTGACATAATATAATTAAAAAGTTATCACCGCTGAAGAAAACGTTTGTCAATATCCGAAATTGAATACTAATAATCAACTGAATTCCCAAAAATGCATTATAACATAACAAATGAAGGAAATCCTTATCCGATCGAACGTGTCTGACTGACTAAATAACATGCATTTAGGCTTCGAATCTCATGTTTTGCGCATCGCACATACAATGATGAAAACAGCATATCCTTGACTTCCCGTGATACCGGTTTGATTCAATTTTGTCATAGATATATCATGATAGCAAGGCAATCTTTTAAGTATAAATTTGCATGGTAGATATAAGGTAATAAGCCGAGGTGTACATGGTAGGGGGAACAGCGAAAGTGCCGTGCTGGCGCTTTTACCAACAGTAGGCACCATTTCACTTCCCTCCACATTTTGGCGCATTCGCCGTATTGATGATGTAGCCTCGTTTTCGACACACTGTTTTTAGGAAAGTATTTTCTTTGGCAAGATGGCGATGGCAAGAAAAAAAAAAAAAAAAAACAGGAACTGACATCCGAGAACACTGAGTCAATGAGTCAATGCAACCCATATCTCCATGTTTGATTTGATGGAAACCCATATCTCTAGGTTGGATTGGATGGAATCCCAAAGGTCTCGAATAATTGTGCATTTCATACCGACGACAAAAATCCACTAATTTCAAAGTAAGCAATATGGACTTAATTTTATCCTAAATTGGCAAGCACATATGTAAATCATACCTTCATATATGGACTTAAAATATACTGAATAATTACAAATAAACATCTACCGGCGGTGACATATTGGCCGAATATGTGGTCAGTTAGGGAGGTTTAGGTGTGGTACATTTTTATAACAAAACCTAGCTATTTACAAGGGATGAGAACATTATACATCATATCATTTTAATATAATAAACACTACCCCAATAGATTACTGTCTGGAGTCAATGTCACACACTCCTGCGTGTCCCTATACTCAACACAGTCTGTAGAGAACCTCTCTGAGACTTCGTTGGTGTGTAAAACCATCTCAGTATTTGTATTTTTAGGTTGTAAATCATCCACGGTTTCTGTCGTAAATACACCTGAGATTAAACTTAAAACTCCTCCCAGCATTATCAATGTACCTGGCAAACAAAACGTTCTTAAGTTATCAATAAATATATATAAAAATGTTGGTATAATTACCGTCGAACATAAGTAAAGCATTAACGTGGAAGTCGGATACAGTGGAAATCACGTCTTATAAAGGAACAGATAAACGAAATAATGATAGTGTACCATCGTTCGTTAGATAGGATTATAGGCTGTGTTTCTGTAAGGTCAAAGGTTCATTTACTTGGAGGTTTAAAAGTGTCAAAATAGGCCTATCCTAAAAATAAGCATTTAAGCTATTAAATAAATAAAGCTGGATTTGCTTGTTTTTAAAGAAAATAAGCTGCGTTTTACTTTTAAAAAATAGAGTATATCTACATCATATAAGAAAGCACATGTCTTTTACATAAATATAGATATCATAATGTTACATGTGTATTGAAAATGCTGTATAACTTTGTACTAAAAGTAGTACACTAATGATCACGTGTTAAATGATTACATTGTATGCATCATGTGATAAAATCGATGTCTTTGAGAGGGTTTAATTACCTGTAATGACGAAACAGATATCATAGGTTCCGCCTTCGTCTATCACGTTTCCTGTCAACAAAACACATACAACTGATTAGCATGGTAAAACATCCGTTATAATCATAATTGATATACAATTTGACACGATCCACAAGAGGTATGACGCGCATATGCCTTATTCGACATACACGTGTCTTGCAGTGAAAAATAGAAAAAATGTTTTTCCCCATTTCGACAAAGATAGATAAATAGGTAAAATGATATTGAGTAAAAATATCGTCAATGTTGGCAGTCGTAGCAGAATGGACTTAACAACGAGGGTTCCTCGACTTCAAATCACATACCTTATCAACGTTTATGTAACATAACTGAAAGGAACATGTATCAAAATACTAAAAGGTTTGTACGATAATGGGTTGATAAAGAAATATTGATCACAAACATTAGGAGCATATGGTTTTTATCCTGAAAAAGGTATGAAAGGATGAACAATTTCTAAGTCAATATCGATATCACAGCTACAGGATTTAATCGTATTCCATGATATATTGTATTTGTATTGAACAGTTTGAAATTGTATGCATTTACATATTACCACAATCAAGAGGACGTTAAACAATAAAAACAAACCTCGGTAGTGATAATTAGTATATATCTGAGGAAGGCGATGACATAAACGTTGACATATAAGCTCAATGTATATGTACCTAATATAGCATTAACTGGCGAAGAAACGGAGGTGTCATCATTTCGTTTATATCTCCGTTTATTATCTAAAGTAACATTTTAGCAGTGTACGGACTCTCAATAACTCCATGGGCTGAACAAATCTCGTTTTTGTGATATCAGAAATGAGTACTTAAAACACTGTGACAAAATTTTGGATATCAATTAGATTGTGAATCTCAGGTTTTATACCATGTAGTTTATAATTAATCCCTTGCCGATATTAACACTTAAGGGTGAACAGCACGATGTTGTAAATCAGTCTACTTGGTATGGTCGTCTATGTCCGTTCGAAGCAAACTATTTTTAATGTCACTATTTGTTTGTTTCAAGCAAAAAATACTGTGTTTGAAATGTGGTAGAAGGGGGATAACTGTAATTTATTGTCGGTCTCTGGAATTCATGGATCGGTAGCGAATCTGGCAGTACGTTTCATTGATGTTAGCAATGATGTTATTAGTATTTAGGTAAAATAAAAGAGAACTTTGTTTGGTGCACACCATTGACGAACTGAAGGCAGAATTGCCGCGGGGTTTGTAGTTCCAATATCTTATAATAGAAAACTTTATTCAAGCCTCCCGATCAGAGGCATGCATGTTTTGGTTGGAAAGGGAGATAAATCTAAGTATTAAATATTGTCTATGTGATTGAAGAGGTGAGTTTTGTTGGTACCAATACATACATTTACGGCCATTAAAACGGTTGACTCATTCTCACCTACAATCGATGGACCTACAAATATGCAGATTCCCATAGCGGCGAACTCAATACCCGTGGCAGCAGCAAATTGCTGTCGTCCAACTAGCTTCATGTTAATGATATTCAGAATAGAGAAGACAGAATCGCCGTAGAACCCAAGAAATATGCAATAAATTAGAAGTCCTCCGAATGATGTCCCATACACAGAGAGTAACATACTGGCTAGCGCTAGAAATGTGAACATCCCGAATACAAGTGTAGTCTCTCGCACACTATGATTACTAGTGTTTACTAGTAAAGAGATCAAAAGTCTGGAAACAAATGCACATATACCACGGACATTCAGGAGGTAGGATGCCTCCAGGACGGAAAATCCCATCGTCGTGACGTAGTTTGGAAAATGCAGATACATAACAAAGACACCGAGTTGGGTTAAACAGAGGCAACAGGCAAAACATATAAATCCTGGGTTCTTGATTATAGTCAGCCAGTTACTCCCACTATTTAGTGAAGACCGATGTTTATTGTCGAGTGGAGGTGATTTATATTTCCTAGACTCCTCCAGGTAAGAAGGAAAATACATACACCCTAGAAAGACTGGCTGTAGAGCTATACCTCCTAGAGTTGTAAAAAATGCCCGATTGCCATAAAACTCCCTTATCATCTCAATCGCCGTCGGTATAAAAAGACCACCCAAAGCAATGCCAGAGGTCGCTATGCCGCTGGCCACGTTCTGACGTAATTTAAAATTATATCCCACAACAAAATATGCTGCTGTATTCGTCATACTGGATCCTATACCTGAAATATGAAATAAGATGTATTAAGTCAGGGTTGGTAGTAACTGAGGATTACAAATATATTTTTGGTATTTATTCGCCTTATTTCTCAATCGTTCGAAGCTGCTGTTAAGCAGTTCAATTTTCATATGCGAATTGATATTGGCTTTAGTGAATTTATCCGTTCTTGATGATAACGGTCGACGTATCTCAGCTCATTTATTTAAGGGATTGTCTCGACTATGAACATACGTTTAATACTTGACCTTTATTTATATGACGGTTGAAACAGACGAAACGAGAAAGTTTTTTATCGGTAGGAACATGTGATATTTTATCAATGCTCTTACAACATTCTTCGAAAGAAGCGTATCAGCCAGTAATTGGTCAGTTTTTTTTCCTATTACCAATGACATGTTCCTGTGGTGTAGATTACGAAAGTGATCGTAACCTGGAGTGTCGAGGATGCACTGGAACATGTCAAAGCAAAGTTGAAGGCACAAACGAAGTAATTTGTTCCAGGAGAAAAAAACCCTGACAAATCACAGGCTGATACGCTCCTTTTGAAGATTACAGAGGAGCGACACACAACTTCAGAGCCTTTTCAACAGATAGTTATGCGACCCCGAGATTTCTTTGATCTACATCAGAGGATCAAACTAGACTTCTCGTGTCATGTCTACAAGGTGACACACATGGAACCTTCGATTTTGCCATGGCATGTCACAGGGGTGCAGAGAGTGAAAGTGGCCCTAACCCCTGTAGTATCTAGGACAATCATTAGATTGAAATAGTACAAGGTTGGGTAAGCCCTAGGTCATTGAAAATGAATGATAGTCTGAAATATCTCGATTTAGATTTATTTGTACACCGTAGATACATATGTAATACATTATTAAGACAGGGAAAGGTTAATTCTGCGAAAACAAACTTGTAGGATAAACAACTCATTTCGATATCAAGCTTAACACATGCAAAAAATAATGATGTAGCGATGTTTCCTACGGTAATGTTTGGGGTTTGTTTCTTAATCTGAAGTTGTCGACGAATTGTGCAACTACCATCCCCTACATCGATAGGAAAATTGTCTGTTTCTGTTATCAAATGTAGACATATACAACAATATCAGGAGTATGTGCTACGAGCTTCCTTCCTTACTTCATTCATTTTTGACTCCGACCGGAAGCTTGAATGACAACCAGCCTTATAAGATTACCAGCACAATATATATATATATATAGTTGTATATAATTATTGTAGGGATATCAATGCAGATCACATGTCCAAAGTTATTTATTTAAAACTTATACAGCCTACCTGCCAAAATTCCGTAGAAGAATATGACAAGATTTAGAGATACGGGTAACGCACATACGACGAGTCCACACGTAAAGAGGAGTGATCCAAAAATCGTGACAACACGACAACTGTATTTGTCCACCATCAAACTGGTTACTATACCTGTACAACACACAAAGTTGATAACCATGACAACACGACAGGTACTATACCTGCAATACACAATCTCATTAACTTTAGTAACACTACAACTGTAGATATATACCATCAAACTCTTGACGTGTTAAGTACACCATGTCTGTAGCACTGACAACATGACTACTTTTTCATGGTGAAATACATTCTTTATGCATATAACTTCACGAGTTGTGCTTGATCTCATTAAATTTATATCTTCGCGACAACACAACACTTAATCAGTTCATACGTATATGTACATACCCCCGGCAGTGTTCATGCAAGCAAATATAGACCCAGCAAGCGCCGTCTTCAAGTTTGTATCATGAAATCTGTCTAATAAAGATAAATGGATAATGCCGAGAGTTCCTATAAAGATTCCTTGTACAACCATAACTCCAAATGCGGCAAGTAGGACCATCCAGGACCAACCTTTGTCAGGAGACGTCAGCTTCATCGTAGATGTGTCCCTGCACAAATATAGAGTATTACGATGACCGACATTTCGATTTATCTTATCAAGTCGAAACAAGTCGTTCAAACGAGTACATTGTCGCTATATCAACGAACCAGAAAGAAGTGTAGTGTACAGTACCTGTACTGACATCCAACAATAACCATTATGTCATTACCGTTGGTATAGAAGTGTTCTGTCGTTCATAACCATGCATACATAAATATCATAGTAAGGCAATACTGGAACAAATATATTCCTGACTAATAATATAATATACATATATATCGCATGCTTAACAACCGTAAGTAAAGGAGTACTGATATCAAGTGAATAGGGATGTCTTAAGTACGAAGAACTGATGAATATATTAACTCAGTATTTATGGAATGCAAGTTTTATGTGGCATGTGAAGTCACAGGCACTGGCTATATGTAGGAGTGACTTATGCATTTCAGTCAGCGTCTGCGGTGAAGTTATTTGTGGAGAACATTATATACCCATATCAAAAGTAAATGCAGTCGTGTGTCACATTCTGAGTTTTTTTTTTTTTTTATTGGAGTATTATGTGCGAATTTAAAGCAGTTTTATGTATTTCCGTCGTCTACAGTACGCTTAATTACTAACCTGACGGCGTACAAATATGTATACTTCTTCTTCGTTGTTGTTGCAAAAAATTAGCGTGTATGGGCTTGATATGTTGAATTATCGTAATTTTTTATGAAGTGCACCAGGTACAAGGTTACGTCACCTCATCTTACCAGTCACTTTTCAGCACTTTTCATATATATATATATTATTCATCAAGATATTATCCTCACCATTGTCATGCTGATCCTGATTTCCTTTCCTATATACTGACATTTCTATCGGCTATTCCAGAATGTACTGGACACAGATTGTGAGGTAGGAGTCTGTGTAATTCAACTGTCATCATTTCATTATTATCAGTAGTACTGTTTATCCTGTCGTGATGCACCTGGTCATATAACATGATATGTTAAAAGGTCAAATTGATTTTACAATATATATTTGATTGATAGTTGATCAGTTTGTTGTTCCGCATATTATCCATATGACAGTTGGTAAACTGCAAAATTAAATTGACAAACCTTTTGTTGACACTTTCGCGGCTACGTAAACATCCATTATTGGTTACTAGTAGTAAAAGCCAACTTTGGTTTCTACCTAAAACTTAATGGCAGACCTGGGGCTGGCTTTGAACATACTCTGGGATGGCTGGCTGCATAGTCATTTAACAGGAAAAGTTGACAATATCATTAAGATAGTGTTATATATATGGATCGGTACCTGTGATGTAACTACCAAGCAGGAAAATTTGATTTCATTGACACATAAATGTGAAGGGAACAGGGGAAAGGTCATACGTTACTGAAATAGAGAGCTTTTTGGCGGGGTTTCCAATTGTTACACCGATCTTCTTTGAAATCCCCCTTACTCAATTACGGTCTGAGGCATTTGAAGAGCAAGATATTATTCTTCAGAGACAGGTTGAATTATTCAATGTGTATACCAAGCAGGTAAACAACAAGTTTGACATTCATTCTGTGAGATTAAAAGGGGATTTTTGAAACATGGGATGGCAGGTTGCTGGTCAACAGTGAATTTTTCATTATATAATGACAGTATCCATCCAGACACCATATTAGTACGGTGTTAGATGAAAAAGATGGTCTCAAAGTAGTTTTTGACTGCTGACTTTGATAAATAGCATTTATTGATATATTATTTACTTATTAATCTGTCTTATTGATTAAGGGAATAAGTGACCAAGATCAGGTGAATATTGGGGCCGAAAGGGATCCAATGAACCTCCCAGTTGACCCAATGGATGTCTATTGGGGTGCAAGGCCTAAGGTAAAGGAGGATAATGTTGAGTCAGGTGAGCAAATGAGTGAGGAGGAAATAATTAAGTACTTGCAAAGCAAAGGTAAATATATTATTATACACTCTGCAGGAAGGGATCCAAGCACAAGGTTAGATATGCCATTTCCGGCTAATGATATGACCTCACTCCCATAAGTTGATATGAAATCCCCCTATGGCTTAAGTGACGGTATATCGCATATTCTAAATCCACCAAAAGATATAAAATTGTATAGTTTTTTAACCAAAGAGTTGTTCATCAGTACCAGTGGCATACATTGACCGTACCCATGGTTCTCCAATTTTCGGGAGATGACCCGCCATTGAAGGGGGTGTGACATACCCTGAATGGAGGATTGAAATGCGACGTTAACATGGGAATACAGAAATATCACAGGGTATGCTGGTAAGGGCGATACGCCGCTCACTACGTTGTACAGCACATCATATGCTTGTCTCCTTTGGGGAATATGCAACTCCGAGATATATTCTTCGGAATTTAGATGCTTTGTTCGGCGATACCTCGACACATGGAAAGTGAATGCAAGACTTGTTTTTTTTCAATACTGCACAGAAACTGGGGGAGTCAGTAAAAAGCTTTGAGTGCCGCTTGGAAAGTCTTTTACAAACAGCGATGGTTAATAGATCATTTAATATGGCAACCAAAAGTGACCTCCTTAGACATATATCTATGACTTCATTCAGCTCATATGAATTAAAAAGCCAATCCCGACATAAATATCACTACATCACCGACTACAAGGAATTGTTGAGGGAAATAAGAACTATTAATATGGAAATGAGTATATCTTGTGCAGGTCCACATCAAGGTGAAGGGAAACCCCATAAAAACGCGAAAGGTCACAGTAGTGCTGTCAGTTGTGAAGCTGAACAACATCAGGTCATCAACGCATAAGAACTGAGTAAGGGGTTTTACAAGAACCTCAACTTGCTGGAAAAGAAACTTGGTTCTCAGTTGGCGAACAAACTTGACAGGATTTAGAGAAAACTTGATGATTCATCTTCTAAGGGAGAACCGGAGTCATGGACAAAGATCAAATAAGAAGTGACGTACAGGAACCATGATCGAATCATTAAGTCGGGTCATGTCTAGAAAGAGCCTAAAGGAGACCCAAAGTGTGAAACAGACTATTCTGGTTTTGGCGCGAAAAAGAGTGTGCACGAGAATAAGAATTTGCTATGTGCCCAGTTGAGTTGCGGTGCTTGGTGTGACAGGACGTCTCCATGTAGGCTCCGCTACTAAGGACATGGAACCCTATATGTTAGGTAAGTGTCATAGGTTTTAGTGGCCAGTGTATTTATAGGCTGTATTTTAGTACGCGTGTCGGTATGTCAACGCGTTTGGGATAACATTTCATAATTATAGTGGGCCTTGTGTCTACTTTAGAGGTGGTTTGGTTCGGGTCTGGTTCCCTCGTCCTATGTTAGCTAGGCGATGGCAGGCTGTGAGAATACAACTACCTTGGCCTATGTAGTCGTAGTCTAGACAGTGGCTAGTCTGGCAGGGTTGCCAAACAGGACTGCTGGAACCGTGAGGTTGTATCGTACTGTGTAACCTATTGATAACTGTGTATGTTACCTATTTTGGCGATGGGCTGGAATGGCTGATTAACAGTATCTGTTATCTACTTTGACGCTGTGCGGGAATGGCTGGCTGACAGTGTCTGTATCCTATTTCAACGCTGGGCTGGAATGGCTAATTAACAGTGTATGTTACCTATTTTGACGCTAGGCTGAAATGGCTGATTAACAGTGTATGTTACCTATTTTGACGCTAGGCTGAAATGGCTGATTAACAGTGTCTGTTACCTTTTTCGACGCTGGGCTGGAATGGCTGACTATCAGTGTCTGTTACCTTTTTCGACGCTGGGCTGGAATGGCTGACTATCAGTGTCTGTTACCTATTTTGGCGATGGGCTGGAATGGCTGACTAACAGTGTCTGTTACCTACTTCGACGCTGTACTGGAATGACTGATTAACAGTGTCTACGCTGGGCTGGATTACACATCTGTGACAGTGTTTAGCGTGTATTGAGGCTCCGGTAAGGGGAGGTAACTTTCACTTTCACTTTGCTGCCGCTGGGGGGGGGGGGGCTGTATTGTGTTGACGATCTACTAGTCTATTTTTACTTGGCGGGATTGCTGTCGATTTCTGGATGGATACGTGTTGATATTTTATAACGTGAACTGTGAGTGCGCGAACTGTTATATTGGATTATAATCTCGTAACTTCAAATTAATGAACTGTGAAAATATATATAATTAACGCAACGAGCAAATTAGTGAATGCGAGTGGTGTGTGAGGTTTAAGATTATTACTGCACTGTTATATAGGAATTAAAATTATCTGAAGTAGAAATATATGTATGCATTATCAAGAAAATGTAAAGATTAATACATATGTGTGAAAGCACTGTCATATAAGGATATTGATTTTATATTTGACATTTATTTACTATGCATTAAATGGTAAGCACGCTCCGCGGGAAAACTGCACGCACCGCGGAAAAACTGCATGAACTGCACGGATTAATCATCTGTGCTTAGGTAGACAGTTCTGGAAAAAACCTTACACGGGGCTGGACGTCTGCTACAGAGCTCCGGCCACCTCGGTAATGGACCCGTAGTGAATATATAATTAACAAAGAGAACACGCAAAAACAGTAGGATGATGCTGGATACATAAAGTTGGGGAGAACTGTGAGCGGCGGACACCGTTGGCGTATGCCATGTGTACCTACGTATACATATGTGAGACCAGTTAGCGGTCAAGGACTGTAATTAAAACTGCCCATTATCATCGGCACCAAAGTCTTCAGATATAGTGACCAGGATGCCAAGTGGCGAAACTTTTAACAGCTAGGATTGGTGATCACGAGTGATACGTCTGTCAAGCTGACCATGTGTGTGTATTCGTGTGTGGATTACGAGGACACGTGATGGGAATTATGTCACATCTCTAAGAACTGTGAGTATTGTGTTTGCATAAGGGCCCACGCGTTCGCGAGGCGTTGTTTAAGCGTACACCGCGTGAACTATGAACTCTAGATATATTCGTAGTGTTAATTGTTAACTCTCTCCATATATATCAGTTA